CGACTTGATGCATCTTTCATAGAAGAAATGATGGCCCAAATCCCAACACTACCTCAAACGATGCAAACTCACAGATGCTAACTTGCTAACTTGCGTTTCGGAGCATCGGCACATTTCCCAGTTTTGCGAGATGTGTAAATTTTGCCTGCTAACTGTAGACCGTTATCCCTGCTTCAAAACTGAGCACCAGCAGTTTGCAGTGTTCGGTCATAGCAGACGATATTTCACACCGATGTGATTGGTAGGAAGTGAAGGCCGCTGTTGGTGGCTGTCTATCTGGCTGAAGGAGGTCGTCATGTTGTGTTCAGTGTTCCTGCTTGCACGCAAATTTTAAATGCGTAAAACAGAAGCGTTGCGGCGAAGATGCCGACCAAAGGAGAGATACTGACTCGTTCATTCGATGTCTCGCCCAAGTTGCGTTGGGTAGTGCTTGTGTGTGTTTATTTATGGCTCAGAAGTCACTAAGATGCTGATATGGAGGATTGGGCATTTGATGTAAGATTTACTGAGTCAGAGGGTATTAACGGTTTGCGTTTCAACATATTCTCTTTTCCGGACTAGTCTGTCCACAACGAAGAAGCATTCACAAGAGCCAAGGGAGAGTTCTAGCTGGACAGTGATTATGGAACCGTTGGACTCAAATTCTAACTTCTGCCAGTGGCTGATTACCTTCGCCATCACACCGACGCTAATTTCGGTGACAACGATTGGACAGTTTTGTAGGTGGTAGGGTTTTGACATCAGCTCGCCCACAAGTTCAACATAAATGCAGTTTACACCGACCTGCGATCAAGAAAACGCACACTCGCCGGAAGCGAGATCCGGCAGTTAACCTTGATGTTATGACGTAAATGTGAGCGATTAGCATCCAATCCAGTGACAAGGACACTCGCGCTTCGTGTTTGGTTATTCGTGCAAAAAACACACGACTTCTAGTCGTTAGAGGGGCCAAACCATTCAGCTCAACAAAACAGAGATAGCTCTGTTTTCGCGTTTACAATGCTATGTCTAATTTTGTGCCCGATCGTGACTACCCTTATTAGCGTTCATGATCTTGTGTGAGCAGTTTACTAAACCGCGTTGACGCTTTTAAAGCCTAGTCCACTTCGGAGTCCATGCCCTTGGTTGAAGTTTTCTGGGAAGTGCGGGGACCCAAGAGTAAGTGGTTGTCGGTGTGTAGTGGGTAACAAGATCAAGCCACGTAGGATTGTTGATAGTCTGTAGTGAAATTTCCTCGAACTTATTCACGATTCGATCGAATGTCACCGATTGTCGATAGCAGTTGATGATCGATATCTACTCACGCAGTCAACTGTATAGGACCTGGGTGACTTACTGTAACTGTTGACTGGCGGGGTTGAAAGGTAGTGCTAACAAAGCCGCTATAAGCCGATTCTACAGCTCCTGATGCCGTTTTATTAACTGTGCACTTGTGACTGCCGAAATTATTTCCGACGTGTTGCTAATGGACTCATGATCTGATAAGAGGTAGTGTCTTCTTTCTTGAATTGTCCGTCGTGGGTGTGTTGAGGTGGCTGTCAATTAACCCTGAGAGCACTGGAAGTCAGCATCGACTCAGGACATGTAATTGTGATCTCCGAACGAGTTTGAGGGTATTTTGACTCCCTCGTTGTTTTACATAGACAAATGACTCATGCTGCAGTAAGTAGTCATAGTGAATGTCAATCTGAACGAAGCAGCACGTCTATCAAGCAAAATTCTTGTTAGTTACAGTGAAGATAATTCACTGGGTCATGTGGTTGACCAGTGGTTGGTATATTCGGATTAACAGTTGATTGTAGCTGCTCACGAACCTGGGTTAGCAAGATCCTGGCGTTCTTGGAACACATGAGTTTAAATGTTCAAAGAAGATGGCGTCAGTGGATGTTAAGATCAAGATCTCGACCAGCTGTAGGGATGTCAAATTTTTCTCCAACTTTTGTTATTGTGGAACCAATTTTTTTTAGCAATGTCCACATTCGCGAATTCCAAAGTATTCAACACATCCTTATTAATAGACTACATTTTAGTTCGCCTACATTAAGTCGGACAAAAGCATTGTTTCATGTCTTTTGTTTAAATACGCACTAATGTATTGGCTGCGCCTTTTAAAAGAATAGGTTTATAAGTTATAAACAGATGAGAAGATGAATGCATTAATTTTAATGCATCAAATCACTTCAAGAGCAACGATCGATAACAAAATTTTGTTTAAATTAGCAAAAGTCATGTTATGGATGGGGCTAATACATTAACGATTATCGATAAACAGAAATTAATTCTGCACGAACCCAACAAGAATATTATTGTCGGTTTATAAGAATACACAATACTCTTCCCGGTGGTTACTTGTGATCCCAAAAAAAACCGCGAAATTCCATACAACAACCCCAAAATTTCAGAGATGACTGCAAACATCCTCTCTTAAGGCCACTAATTCAATGGTGTGCTTTAGTAGGATTAAGTCGAAAAGCTTGCTCCAGTGATAACGCTATACCAAAATTACAGTCACTGAGAGTTTGTGTCAAAATTTGAAGGTTTAAACAAACTGGTTTTGCTTACCTCCGATTACCGTCAGTTGATCAGTAAAATTTTTCAGGCACTAGGGAGTTAAATGTGGTTCCTAAGCGTACAATGTCCATTTAAAAAGGTTACTGGGATGAGGCCACATTCCAGGACGATTGATTCTCACGGATACACTGACTAACCGGACCGTCATATGTTCATGCAAAACGAACCCATTCGAACCGCTTTTTTTCTTAATTCGAAGGTGCAAACTTCAGCAAACCTGAGGCTGTCGCGACTCCTTCAATCAAAGCCTATGTAGCAAGTTAGCATTTGGGTTAATTTGATCCCTCCTACAATTTAGCACTTTGTGTTTGCCCCGAGGGTGTTGAATACCCGAACCCTGGTACGAAGAAGACTGGTGCGATAGGGTAGGCTTTATTAACCAATCACAAGCCAGGACCGTGCTTCAGTCGCCGTCCATCAGAGTCCCCCACGCTCATCATATACTGCTTCTCACACGTGTCTGTCAATGGTTGGCTGCAAATCTTCCTTGCAGGAAAAAGGAACACAAGGCGACAGGGTACCTGGTTGAGGCCGGCGTGGTCCAGTATATACGCACCCTAGTTCATGGCCATAAAGATTAACAGGAAATGAAACGCCAAGGCACAGCATTTTTTCCTGGTTTTGTGACGCCTAATCGTCAAGGTATTTGCAGAAACTATCACGCAATCGAAATTGCCTAGTCCGTTTATTTGATACGTGTTTTGAAAGACCCGTTTTAACAGCAAGGTCAGTGCCCACCAGAAGAACTGGTGATAACTAACAACAACTATTAGTTATCTTTGGAATTATCCATTCAAGAATTCAATGGAACATGAGGAAAATACTCAGCCAACCAGAGACAGACACGTATACGAAGCGGGATGTAATGAGCAGCGCAGCCAGCGTGGTGAAATTGGATGGATAGTGCCGGAAGTTTGGTTCTGACTTATGATTGGCCAATAAGGGGCGGTTCTGTCGTACCAGCCATCGTCATATTAGGGCTTGGAAATTCTGTGGTTATAATATGAAGTGCAATTCATTGATCGGTGAAAACAAATTATCATCATTACAACTTTATTTTAACCATTGATTTAATTGAAAATAGTAGAGTGGAATATGCTTACAAGTAAAGGTAGGTTACGAGTGATTTTAAGTCATATTAATGTACAACTTAAATGATTTCAAGCATAACGAAAATAACCACAGCCGTAGAGTTTCGAAAAAGGTAATTTTTCAAGTTCTTTGACTTTTAAATATTTACTTAATCAGGCCAAATCAAAACCTACATATCCGGTTCTTCAACATAGATTCCGATTCCACGCTTTGTGGCCTATGAAGATTCATCAGTTAATTAGTATTTTAGTTCAGTAAAAAGGGCTAGAAACGATCCAATTCACAGATGATAAAACCAAAGGTTGCAAACCTAAATTCAAAAAGCTATTCTCACCTTCACCGAACCCATAGTGAGAGCAACACTCACTTTGCGGGAATTTACGACGACAGCACTTCGAGCCCATTACATGAAAGTGAAGCCTTACTGTAAACAGGAAATATTGACGACAGATAGTTTTAATCGTAAACAAAAAAACATAGACTAACTGTTGGGTACCTTTCTGACGTGATCAGATACGTCAGTTAATGTAAATAAACTATTTTCAGCATAGATAATTGTGTTCATTTGAATTTAGATTAGCCATTGAGGCACTTACGGCAGACTACGACATTAAATTTAGTTTTACCTTTGTATGGTTGCTTGACCCTATCAAAAACAAAGTCGACAAAATATAAGATATCAATAGATTAAGGATTTTGTTTTCGAGTATTTATCGCTAAAATGAATTTTGTGAGTACATATTATCAATGCATTTCAGGATTAGGGAAATAGCACCATTTAGACACATTTATGCTTGTTTAATCACAAATATCTTACCGTGTTCAAAAGTAACGCAGCCTTTAAAAAAATGGCAATCACATATTCTGGAATCCTCTTCGAAATCCAAAGCCCATTCGAGGGAATTAAAACTGACCTAAAAACGGATAAGTTTAATCAACCTATGCGTTTTTGATTTAACTGACTACTGCATTATATCAGTTTGAAATCAGCTTTAATTCGCGATCTGTGAAATATAAATGATGGCTGTGTAGTACAAAATCCTGAACATTCTGATACTGGAATTCAGAAAGTGTCGTGCAAAAACCTAAAAATGTCTAACAGAATTAAATTACTCGTGCTAAATGATTAATTTAAGCTTCTATGCCATTTAATCTATAGTAGTAGCGCGGTAAAATATGCAGCTATTTTTAATTACCTTATGTTTTAACGCATCACTGAAGGTTTACTTTGCCGCGTCTTTATCTTTGCGATCACGCTTTTCCTTTATTGGTTGGTTAGGGGTGCTGCGGTTTTTATGCTCACCTGATTTTTCGGGGTCTTTGTTCTTCTTTCGGCCATGACTCGCGATCGATTGGCCGAACTTAAAGTGGTACGTTTGTTTGTTTTTTTTACATGCCTTGACAGCGGTATCACGCGGCTAACGGTGGTGGCCCTAAAACCAGTCCAATCGAAAACGTTGAGATTTTGGATTCGTTTCTCGAAAAAGTATGTTTGATGTCAAACTACATGCATCGATACCTATTTAGGTTAATAGCACTAACAAACTTGTGGACGAAATTTCTAGCCACGTTGAACAGATAAAGGCATGCCAGCTGCACATATTATCTACTCCGAACGCCAATCCCAGTAAGTGGTGTTTTAACATGCAGCATGTGTTTCAGTAACCTCATCTCGATTGGACGAACACATGCGAAATGTCAAAAGTCTATCCTTTCAAATTGGCAAGGAACTTAAAGGTTTGATTGTTATCTATTATGTGACTGGATTAGCTTTGGAGGAGAGTGCTAAAACTGACCGCTTGCTGCCTTCAAGTGGAATTGATCGAATCAAGTCTCATCAGCATGCAACCCTCCTAAAAAGGTTTCAGACAGTGATGGAAGACTACAATCAAAGCCAGTTGGCTTATCGGGACAAATGCAAATCAAGAATAAAACTTCAACTGAAGGTGGCGGGTGCCGATGTTACCGATGCAAAAGTTGAGGATATGCTTGAGTCTACAAATCCGTGTGTCTTTACCGATGCCGTGAGTCAGTACCATTTGACTGACTTTTTTGAAGGTTATGGAACAAACAACGGCAGCAAAGAAGTCCCTGATGGAAATTGAAGCGCGACATGCGGACATTCTAAAGCTAGAGAAAAGTATTGAGGAAATGAAAGAAATGTTTTCCCAGATAGCATTACTTGTTGACCAGCAGGTAGGTAAATCAATCAAGTACCTTTCATGCTTGCTGAATTAAATGTTATGCTGTGACACTGTTTGGTGCCTAGGGTGACCTAATCGACAATATTGAGCACAGTGTTGGTCTAGCCGTGGACAAAGTTGAGGCGGCAAAGTCGTCGGTAGGAAAGGCTGTGATTACGCAAAAAAGAATGAGGAAAGTAAGTGCCTCCTGTTTGCTTTTTTCCAAATTATTCAACTCAAGCTTTCACACATTATTTCAGCGAACTTAGCAGTTGCTTCCGCCTTATGGTAGCAGTGTGTTCATAGTTACAAAACCGTCTTCTAGTTACACAATCAGAAGAGTCATTTTCATACCTTACTTAGATTTTGCTGTTTGAATTTAGTGCGACTTATGATGCGCTTAAGCATATTTGGTTTCGCCATCAATTCGTCATAATTCGCTATTAAAGTAAATTTGTAGCATTTTGGTGAGTTGCTCATTCAAAGCACTATAATCTTGTCAAATTCTTTCAAATAGTGATTCTAGGTGCAGTCTAACTTGATAACAAAGAAAATCTATTCCAACGATCCTGGAAATAGCTTATAGAATTGCGTTACTATTACTAGACAGTCTCCTCCCGCATTCTTTTCCGTAACTCTTGGTGTGGTTTCTCCTTTCAAATTTCCTCTTCCGATACTACACCAAAACAGATACGCGTGTGCGTTACACGAATTCATGTCTAATGTTTCCAACATTAAACTCAAATTGCTTGACATTTTGCCGCGCAACGTCTATTCCGTATAACGTCACAGACAAAGGTCTGACTCAATCAGCACATTTTCATTGTAGCACGGTTGAAGCATGTTGATTGTACCCTTCTAAAATAGTTTTAAGCTCCCTATTTATTGCAAGAATCTGACAAACCTCTTGACTAAATGGCTTGCCCTTATCTCAACACGATGATATTTCAAAATCAGTTACATTTCGTTTTCACAAACTGAGAGGGCGCTAACTTTACTTTACTCCACTAAAGATAGCCATTCTTATGCAAGCTATGGCCGTTTACCCTCGGGCATGTGTTTAATTTAATGGGACAAAACTGCTGACACCCACGTACCCTACGCAGTTTGCTCGCTTAACTACGCATTAATGTGTCCATGGGGTCCAAATCTCGTTATGTACAAAAGAAAAGGCCAGTGTTTTGCCTTCCAGTATTGTTTCTTTGTCACTTAGACGCTCCCGTTAATTCGCTGTCTTTCGGCAGCGAAATTATTGCCGCGTTTAAAATCACCTCCGTTGCTTTGTCGCTTTGATTGGCCAGATGGTTGCTGCAAAGTGGCCAATCAGAGTTTTGTCTGAGTTCCGATTGGCTGGATTTTAGGTTACCAATGGTCGAAAATACCTGAGTGGTTAACCCATTCCCGATTTACCTAATTTCCGCAAGCCACAACCTTCCCAGCGCAAACACGACCAGAGGCGAAACGCTCTTGCCGCCTCAGCCAAAAGCTGAATCACACGTCCCATTGAGTCGAGTAACACATTCAAAGGTGACAGCTTACGCCATAGGTGCTGTGTGTATGAATTGGAAAAGCGGTGATCGCGAGTACAAAGAGTCGGGGGAAATACAAAATTATCACGTTTTTTAAAAAGTAGAGCGTCTCAGGGGTGCTGTTTTCGCAGAAATTCGGGAAGTTAGTAAAAAGCTGCAATCCAAATTCTCATTTTAAAAGCTCTCCAAAGAGGCCTTCATCGGATTCTCATTTTTTGCTGTCAGCAGCTAGTGTGTGGGTTCGTTGACTGTTGACTTGAAGTTAAAAGCGGAATCTTTGAGTTAAAACCGAGGATCTGTCTCCGTGAACCCATCAAAGTCCTGTTGGCAGTTGGGAGTGGTAAATGACGAAGGGGAACGTGTTATTGGTTGAATTACAAGCCCACGTTTTCTGTTAGGAACTGACTAAATTTTAATTTTCCCTGTGGGGTCTTCCACCCCTCGAATTGACGTTACACTTAGCTCCGTCATTGCGTCCTACGTTGCCTAAAATTGCCGTTTTTAAAAGTCACAAAACATTTCAGGAGTGCGCTTTCTGTTCTGTGCTGAATCCTGTCAACTGGACAATCGATGTGTGCAGGAGGTGGCCCTAATCTGTCGAATCTCGTGAAGCTTTCAGGCTAGGAATAAGACTAGCGCTTGCGCCGTCCAGCGGTTTAGTCAGGCGTCCAGCTTGTGTGGTTTGTTGGAAAAAAAATGGACCGCCTTTTGTGGACTTTGGCCCTCAGCTTAGTAAAACGAGCGCACGTTCGCTTCAGTGATCGGGGTGGGTTCGCCTCCAGCTGAGTTGTGGCAAAGTTCTCGCATTCCTCCTCTTGTCAACCAAGATTGACGTGTGCGGTCATCGTGGAAACTCTCTCATGGCAATTTAGTTGTAACAATTCAGAAAAAAAAAGAACCAGCTTTGCTCAAACCCACTCGCCTCCTCCTCATTAGTCGATATCACGGAGGAGACAGCAGCGAGTTCTCTCCCCAGCACCCTCTCGGCGCTCGCTGTCACAACCATTTACTAAAATCCTGTTTGTTTTGCGTATTTCAGAAAAAAATCATCTGCTTCATCATCCTCGGTGTCCTCGTCCTCATCCTGGTTATCTCCCTAGCCAGTATCTTTGGCCTAACCTGAGATGTGCAATCAACCCTGCGCCTCCTAGCGTGCGGCTGATGCCGCGTAATTTTGCTATGCGCTGGATTTCATTTCCACCAACCCTCCACTTAGGAACTTGCCCCGTTCTGTACATAAACCCACCTGATTGCCCTCGCACACCGATCACTGGAACAGGGCAGTTGCGTATTGTGGCACGCGAGTGTTGATGATGTACATAAACCAAAAATTCACCTGCGTCCCGTGAAATGTTGTGTTTTTGGTTGCGTGCTGTGCCGCGTTTGGCAGATGTATTCCCGGGAAGTCGCCTTCTACCGGATGCCCCTCTCGTCTCTTCCTCATTGGGCCATCTAGTCGCTGCGCTATCGACCCCAAACTGGCGTGGTTTTTTGTAGTCGTCAGTCGGTGACGCTGTCGTGTTGTAGGTTCTTGCCATATCGGACCTTGCACGTGTCCATTCGCCCACCTAACTACGTGATTAGGGGTTTCGCTCTATTTGCGAATCCCCAATGCCCCAAATCTGATCGATTCTGTTAGCAGCCTATCTTCCGCACGTGTGGCATGGTCGTTCGTGTTGTTTAAATGTCAGGAATCAACGCGGCTGTAGTGTAGCTGTCTTGGTTAATGTAAACAATGCGACAAATTGTTAGTTTTCATTGCGAAATCATCAAATCAATTGGCTTTTCGAACACGCATTTACCACGCATCAGTTGTTGCCATAACACGTGCTGGTTGAGTACTGGATTCAGATTTAGGATATGTCGGACATACTGCGGTTGTGCTCGTCAATTTCCATCGACAACTAGACCTCGGTCCCCACCCTAGTAAGCGTTGGTCACACATCTGAGTCACACTTAAATCCAAATCAAATATCGACACTTAAATTAAAGTGGCTTATCTAGCGTCGGCCCTCACTCCCCAAACAAATTCTCCAATGTGTACCTGAAGTTAGGGTGTTGTGGAGGTGTGTGGTTTTTCTTCAAAATCCCCTGTTGAATTGCTGAGTGTAAGAACTTATATGCGGATAAACGAATTCGTCCTGGTGATAACCTACGACGTCTGAGCTGATCAACACTCGCCAGAATGTGCAGTTGAACCCCCTTCCAATCCGCGTTCAACGATCGCGATCAATTTTGTTAGATCTCGCTTATGTCCGTAGACTGACAATTCGTGAGCCGTGGTTCCAACACATCCGTATTGGACCGTTTTAGTTGGCAGGCGAACCTCCACTTAAAGGACGTCCACGGTCGCACTGGTAGTTCATTGAACTTTCGTCTCCTGGCGATGAAGTAACGATTTCGGAGCCGCTTTAGCACACACCTTTTGGTGCCATTCTATTGCTCCAAAGCTAAACTAGTCTACAACTTCCCAGGGCTTCAAACTGCCGCGGAGCCGACTTTTAAAACCCAATAACGGGGAGGGGGAGAGTTTGGGCACCTTTCTTACTGATCGAACAGGCTGGCAATTGATTGATTGCAGGTCAGATTACCAGGACGGTAGCTTCCAAGTCACAAACATACGCGCACACACACAAACGCACGCACTCTGTCTAAGATCCTGTTACTTTGGTTCAATCACGTACGTGCAAATTCACCATCGAATCACAGCACGCGCGTTTAGGTAGTGCACAAACCCACGACACACATTCTGTGCTTCGTTTATAAGTCGGCGTTGACCTCAACTCTGATACTCTTCGAGTTGAACAAAGTGACGATTTTTACAAATTGGCGAGAAGCGGCAGCCTACTTACATCTTCACCGGTGTTGATAATTAACTCGAATGTCTCTTTAAATGTGAAAAATTAGTTATTTTATAGTAATGTTTCTTTTTTGGCGTGACAAATCCCTCTCAAACCAATGAAATGCGCATTAATTCTCTCGGTAGACCTGTTACGTGTCACTGCGCGTGGGCGTGTGAGAGAAGGGTTGATTGGCCACGCACAGAACCAATGAGAGGCGCGGATGAGTCACAGGTACCAATCGTCTTGAGGAGCGAATCCATTTGAAGCAAGTTTCGAGTGAAAATCAGTCAATCACAGATTCCGCATCGGTTAGAACTTTGCACACCCACCTAAATTACACAAACGCACATGTAGAGAGATCAACGCGTTTTCGTGACTGTCAACTTCTCTCACAAATAATTTGTTTAAGTCTAATCCATGATTACGCTTGTTGTTTTAGTCGATTCAACAAAAAACCGCGTTTTAGAAAAGCTGGCCTCCATAACTTTAATAAAGGGATTTCAACTTTGCTAAAATTTAGGAGAGTGTTTAAATTAAAGAAACCGTCAAGTTAAAAATTTAAATGCCTTGTTCTCGATTTTATTTTTAGTGAAACAGAGCCGCAACACTTTCGATATTCCACAATTTTGCTGCATGCGTACGTTCTGTCCTCAAATGGAGCATATTTATGAGTAATTGTAGTTAAATTGCCTCAACTAACATTCAAACATTCATGCCCAATTAAAACCACAGGATCTAGTTTTTCCGATATTAAATTAAGTTGGTTGGAAACAGAACATCGTTAAAAACGCCAGCAAACTCAAGGCAATTTGACGGAAATTCCATCATTTCATGTCAGTCAATCTCCACATCGCACGAGTCAGTGTAGAGACACTGGTTATGCCCTTGTCCAAAATCTGGTCTAGATCGCTTCCATTTTAAGAGAATGCTGTTTACATGTGTGTCCTGTGGTTGAATTTACTGAGGGCCGTCGAACATACCAAATTTGATGGATCAGAAGAGAATTGTAGCCTTTGTAGTGCAACCTCTCTCCAATGTGCGTCAATTCGCTCATACGGTGACATTTACATATGCAAATCCTTGAGCAAACGGATTAGATACTGGCCTAAAGTCGTAAGCGTCAGACAGATTGGTCTTCCGGAGTTCACCTACCAGCTAGATCAAAGCATGAACGGAATTGTCGTTGATAACTCGACAAACCAAGTCATAATTCAACAATTCCAGCAACCACCCGTGAAAACAATGAATGCAAAGTAGTGGATGTGCGCAGTCTAATCGGTGTCAAGTCGATCCCTCAAATTAACCTCATTTAATCAAGTGGTATGGCTTAATTTTTCAAAAGCCGATTTTGCCCGTGTTTAAAAAGAGATGGTTTTTCACATACATCAGCTGCATTTCTCAAAGATCAAGTGCTTTTCGTAAAACTAACAATTTCGTTTCTTCTTCTCTTGTTTATGCACACGACTTTTCGAATTCAAATCGGCCGCCTTCTTACTATTGGCTCAGGCACAAGATCACCAATTGTAGCAAGCGTGTACCAAAGGAGGATCACAATGGTTTGGTGTTTTTAAGACCTCTACACCAAAGTGTTCAGATAATTCATTTCAAAAAATGATCGATTTCCGAATTTTCTGAAATGCCTTTGGCGAATCTTGATTGGTTTGTTTAAATGAAGTACGTTCTGTCGTTGCAGAATCCAAATATCAAGTCAAGGATATAATGCGTGCAATCTTAGTTTATGTGTGTGATACATTAAACACTTGCTCTTCATCAAGTCCAATAGATTGACCAAAGCGACCTTGGTTAAACTGGAGTACAATTCACCACAACGGACCATGGTTTACCGATTCTGGCGCTTTTGTTGTTTCAACCAATCAGTACCATAGATGTATCGACTCCTTACATGACCCTCAGTTACCTTTCGTGTTGGTGGGGACGTTGAAACGCGAATCAAGCATCCGTGATGCACTGGCGGGTTGGTAAAAGCCACTTATGCACCGTATTAACCGGAAATGCTAACTCGAGGCACACCTGACTTGACATTTCCTGTCCTCCAAGTGTTTGCACAAACGCACCAATGGTCTGAGCTTGTTTTCCTGTTCTGTCTCCCAAGTGCGCACACGAATTGGGAAATTTCACATTTCGAAGGTCACTCTTACACAAGATGCGCGCGTCCGTGGGTCAGTTAAATCTCGATTTTATTGGTTTTTATTTTGAATATACATCCTAGCATGTGGTATCAGACAATGAAGGCCCTTGCACCTTCTTCTCTGATTGTCTGTCTGTAAATTGACACCTAAATCAGACGAAAGATTTACTACCACGCGTTAAATTAACACGACTTTGGTCGGAGGTGATTAAGACTAAGTTTTGCAAATGACGTGATGAGATGATGATGAGAAGATGATGAACTCTGTTGACTCCTTTTCAATAATCCACGTGTGCCTTTTCTGTTCCTCCATTCATACCCATGACCTCAAAGTATGCAAGATCTAGAATACACACATGCACACACCAAAACATCCGGATTGAGTCACTTGATGAGCGATTGTGGGCTCAATATCACCTGACTCACTTATGCTACACCACCGTAATCATCGTGGAAACTAGTCGAGTGCATGACTTCATGAAACCCACAACCAGAGTTGATTAGCACCCACTAATCTAGTCCTTTGGTCTGGTTAATCAACGGCTGAAATACAGGCTCGCTAGCCAAGGATACACATTTGACTTTTTAATTTACCACTGTTTTCCCCAGAAAATAAGACTAATCCGGTGGAATCCCGTCAGCCTGGTCCTAAGGATAAACCCCCTTTGACACCTCGCGCGTGCACCAATGTATGTCAGGGAGTTTCTCATTCTAGGTCAGGTGAAATAGAATCAAAACCGCGTCGACGACTGAGGACCTAAGTGCCTTTTATGATGGCAAATCACAGGAAGGTAATCAATACAATAGGAGGCCATCTGACTGCGCTAAATTTCCCCTCTCAGCGATCTCTTTTCGCATCAGTTAAAACAACTCAAAAACGAGAAGAGGGCTTAAACGTAAGGGTCGGCAATCCCGTGTACCTTAGGCCCATTCGCCGATGCATTGTAATTCCCCTACTGTAAATGGGTACTAGCAACTGGATAACTTACTCAGCTTGGCAAACCTAATAAATTGATATGATTTCGATCGAGTTTAATTGATATCTTTGATATAACGTACACACGAATCTAGGTTAGCTGCCCAATCGAAATGCGTGTGTTTCTTGTTAAAACAATTTAGATAAATTTCAGCAGACAAACACCGAACTTTTCGCGGATTTTTGGGGTCTGAAACTCACCAATGAGATTAGAGACTCAGCTGATCACCTGTTAAAATTACCTTTGATATTTGGCAAACTGTTCCGCTAGTTTTCAAAGCTCTGCTATTTGAACACGCAGCCCTTCCTGTCTACTGCATGCCCTGGTCGATATTAATTTTTTTTGTCACCTGAAGAAATTAATATTTCTAAACAGACTCAACTGACCTGATAACTTAAAAAAATCGATTTTTTGGAACTTGAAGCTGTATAGCTGATTGGCTAATTGATTAATGGCTACCTTCGAAGTAATGCATGTTTATTTTCGACCGCCAAGTTGGAGTCTGCTTGCTGATAGCCACGCTTCCAGGCCAGACTGCGTCTGCTGATGTCTCCATTCTCATCGAAACATTTCTTGACTATCTACTCGCCACGATGCGACTGATTTTACCGGAACCCCTTTACATGAACAAATCACCCGAGGGCATGCTTAACTTGCGGAACGCAAGCATCCACGGCCTGAGTTATGCCCGTCGCAATTGTCCGATTGACCTGAATGTCTTCTCCACCGACGACAGCCACCACATCAGCGGGAACTTCTGCCTCACCTTCGAGGACCACTTCAACATTAGTGCCCTCATCCAAATCACTTCGCTGCTCTACGATTCGGATTTTGAGCCTGCGGTGGTGCATTTTCATGACCTCAATGTCCGCGTCAATCTCACTCTGAAAATCCCCAAGAAGTACAACGCAGTCGGTGCTCTGGTGGACCTTCAGGGGAAACCGATTATTGAAATGCGCGGATTCAATCTGACGGCTGTCAACGGCGACAACGACGACGAGGTGTCTGATGGCTTCTCCATCTTGTCGACACTCGGCAGCGTCATGTCGATGGGTCCGCTTGGTGGCTACATTGAGTTTAGAATGGCGAACAGCGTTCAAAAAGCAATAAAGATATTAAACGCCAAGTTACAGGACAAAATCGATGACGTCGTTAACCGCGGATGAGTCAGTTCTTGGTGCTTTTTAATTTGGAACCTAACTGAAACCACCTTAACTAACTGACAAGTTCTATTTCTACTATTCTGCTTCAATAGTTTTCAAAATGAGGACGGTTGTTGGAATTGTTATCGAATAAACCGGTCTTGTGCCCACGAGAAATTACACATGGGAAGATGTTTAAATGAGGGGCTGAACGCAAAAGCTGCATTTCGTACACAAAATACACAGTACCTCTGAATAGGTCCACATTTACCAACATATTGGGTGTCAATTGCTATTTAACACCGCCATTCTCGTCATGTTTTGGTTCTGGCGGGCAGGTATTTCGGCATGTTTGCGACAGAAAGCCCACTTCAAGGTCGTCCTGGGCATAATTTGGTGTCCCGATCTGGAGGGGCTGATCGAAGATCTTCGACGGACTGTAGGGAAGGATTTGCACGGACTGGTCCCATGGATCAAATTTCGAATGTCGTAGATGGTACTCGTGAATTCGCCCTAAAATAGGCCGTGTGAATGGGTGCAGTACATTTAATTAACGATTCATTTCAGTTTTGGGGACAAAAATCATGCAATGTGGCCTGTAGCGAACCATCTAAACGTGATTGGTACCCGTAACTCACCCTTAACATTTAATTGGTTCTCCTTGTTTACAGAAAAGGCCTTAATACGCTCATCATAATGATGCATCAGGCCTAGCTATGATTAGGTCACCCCATTCAGTCACGAATCCAATGCTATTTCCTGTCAAGTTTCACTGTCATAGATGGTAATTTCCCCAAGACCTTTGCTCCGACGTGATACACTATAGATGATGTTTCTCATTCCATAAGGGCGTTTGTTTTCCTGATTTTAGACTCTGAAGAGTCTACACAGTCTTGAATTAGGCATGACGGTTTGTCACACTGAGACCTTGAGCCTCCAAGGTCGTTTGGTTAGTTAAAACAATGCCCGGCTACTGATAATAATAATAATAAGTTGATTATAATCACATCTTTAGTGGTGTAAATAACTGTGAGGTCGTTTAAATTTGATAAAATTTGATACTGTTTATGCCAAGATTTTCGATGCCAAACAACTGCTATAGTAATTAACTCACATTCGTGAGGGTCAACCAAGGTTTTTCGAAGCTGTTCATTGGCCTCGTTGGCAAATTGATCAAACATTTCAAATACCTGAGCCCTGTTCAATTCGGGATCCTATTAAAGAATAAGCTAACTGAAGAACTCGCAACCTAGGTGACGGATTTGACTGGCAAAGAACCGATTGGCAATGCGATAAATGCGGTTAACTTTCACCCTGCTGAATAAAATCGTTCTATTGCACTAACGCCAGTCAATTTGGTGGTGAAAATTAGGATGTAGATCAAAGGTTTCTATAATGAAGCCTTTTTGCCTTCTTTTTTGTAATTCAAAGTAATGTGTGCACTGCAGACGCCTCGAAGTGACCAATCAGGCCTCCTCATTTCAATATCCTATCGTAATGGCTAGTCATTTGAATTGGTGTGAACAGACAAAAAGAGGCGATGAGAATGAACAACTATTGAGTACCTGCATGTTCGCGCTCTGATTCTTAATAGACCTCCACTATATCTGCATTATTTTCGTGATTACAATTACATCATTCAGCCCACGAATCTTAAGACATTTTTGACCACTAAGCTGAAGCTATCGCAGGTTTCGCAAGACACAATTGGTCAGCATAATTCACCAATCAGCGCATTGTGAGTTGCCTAATTAATATAACAACGTCTGATTCGTGTTCGTGAGTTTAATCGTTACTACGTGTTTCGAATTTTTTTAAATTGTGGAACAAAGAACAAGTAAATAAATTTAATTCTTCTGGATATTGTGATATAACGTAACTACTTTAACGCTAATGCGTGACATGGCATAAAACATGGCCTAACCGTAGGTAATTAAACAAATGAGGTTCCACTCACAGCGTCTTTGTCGAATCCGATACCGATTTCCGTGCTCACGCCGAGGCGAAGGCGTCGATTTACGTGCTCTTGGTATTCTCGCGCGCATCGCTGCATGTGATTAAACAGGGCCCCAAACACCTCCATTGACAATGGTCGCACGCATTCCATGACGTACTGGAATTGAACAGAGGCAACTAAAAGGACGTCGCCCCAACGCCAAATGACATTTTTCAGAGCCTTCAAAAGCTCTGATGTTAGGTCACGTCAAGAGGGAAGACAAATGTAGTGTGCCACTTCAAGTCATCCAAATATCTATTTCTCGTACGCAGATCGGACCTTAATCTCACAGCCAAAGAAGGTGTACCATGTTAAGGACAAAAACCCGAAAAGATTTTGCTTTTTAACAGTGTTTAAACCCGTAAAACTGATATTTGATGGAGTCAAATGTTGCCAAGGTGCTCACTTACAGCCATGAACTCTGACCGAACATAGTCTTCGACGTGTACATCAACGTGCTCCACGTGAACCATCGGTCTCTCAATCAACTGCAAATCTTCTGGCACGTTCAGAACAGTTTTAAGGAAAGATCGGATGGACTTTTGGACCTAAAACATTCACAAAAATTCGCATTTAATTTAAACAAATATTGTTCTTGTCGTGAATTAGACCCATATTTGAATGAAATTGTTGAAGGCTGCAGTAGATAATTGTTAAGTGGATACAGAATTCTTTTAAAGGTTTAGTATTTAATCTTGGAAGAATTGAATTGAAGTTAGGGTCTAGATGTTCTGGGTTACGGTTCATGATATCGAAATGTATCCAAATTTTTGACTGCTCTAACACTACTGAACATAAGTTGACACGTTGTTCTTCATTCCCAGTTGTTATTGGTAGATTTCAAGGTCAAAGTTCCACCAATACTGTCGTTCGTGAACACTACATTGTGATTACGTTAGTGAATAGTCCGGAAATAAAGGACCTACCACGGCAGCGTTTACAGTTTCACTTTCATTAACTCTGAAGCAATCAAACATGGGTTCCAGCTGTCTCGACTTCTCATCCAGTTCTCTTGCAACCATTTCCTTCATTTTCTCCCATTCAAGCTTACGCTCTTCTGACGCCGCGGTGTGTCTAGCCAACTCCGTGTCTGATTTCAAAAAGAGGTCCTGTTTCAGTAGATTCAGCACCTGTCGCATTCCCTTAGTGTAGGGATTTAGGCACACTTTTCGCGTCAAATTGCCGTGCTTGGGGTTGTTTCGCATTAGGAACTCAGCAAGCCGATTTATGGGATTAAAATTGACGTCCATTTTAACGCCATTCTCTGTGCAGAGACCTCGCTTGTCCGCCTCGCGGAGAATGTGTTCCAGTCCGAGGACGAGGGATGGAAGGAGGTGTTCCACGAGGAAGGCTCGAACCCCAAGCGAAATGGTGCAGTTGTCGAGCCACTGAAAGGTGAGCATATCGATGGGAATGCACTGGAGGATCCAGTCCACCTGGGCTGCGAGTTCTTCTTGACTTCTCTTGCGATCTTGACGTTTTTGAGCCAGCAGACTAGTCAGAAACAGCTCCTCCTTTTGGAGACGCTCTTGGAGGGCAGTTGTTCCAACGGGAATATGTGGTGGCTGGAGTTGGCTATGCGGCTCGTCCCCATGTATGTGGAGACGCTGAGTGTGGGGATAGCCCCTGACTACTACATCGAGTGTTTTGTCACTGTCGTGTGCCTTCATTCTCGATTGCCTCGATCAGTCGAAACCAAGGTGATGCGCAAACGTGTTAACTAAAGCAAGACTACTTATTGAAGTTCAGTAACATTATTTGCAAGATGCAAAATGTGGTTCAATTTCTAAGCCCTTTTGCAAGCATTTATTAGTTACATGAAGCATCAAACAACAGTTCACGCTCAATTTTATCCTGAAATGCAACAAAAACATTTTGGACGCTTAAGGAGTTGCACATGAACGCCTAGATTTAGCGCAATGTGTGTTAAGGTGATCAGATGAATGTATGAAGGAAACTCAAACTAACTAACGTCGCTGATTTTATGAGAAAATCACAATTACAATACCTTACATTTATAGCCAAATTATAATGGAAGCAGATGTAAGCCTCACAATGAACTAAAAGACTAAATGAGATTTTATGTGCTCTGTTTCAGCACGCATCTAAGTGGTTGGGCCGACAACGCACGGGTTAGAAATTAGAGAAATTGCGCTTAATAACCCAAGGAGGCAAGCTCAGTAATGCTAGATTTAGGCATAGGGCAAGTTTAAGGTTTTCCAACAAGGCAACCCTGTTAAAACAATTAAGTGAACTTGAAGCATTATGATTCGATGAGCTGTCAGCTTCTACGATTAATTGCAAGCTTATATAATCTCCGCATTTACAATAATATAATTTGCTAAAATGCATTGACAAGTTGTATTTTCTTTCCAAACCGTTTTAAGAAGCCCGTCACACATTAAATTAGGCATGAAATCATTCTCAAAATCCGACAGCAAAACATCTTAGAAGAACTCAAAAGATTGGCTAAGTTATATCATTGTTCAGTTATATCATATATATATATAT